TGAAAAGCTGGCTCTCCTGTGTTGAGCCATGCATCTATGAAGAGGCTGTTTAGTTTCCCCAATGTAGAGGTCTGGACAGTCCTCGCTGCACTGGATAGTTGTTTTTGTCCAGTTGTTTTTGTATTGAACACTTTTTGAATTCATCATGTCCTGGATGACTGAGAATCTTCACCAGCATGTTACAGAGAGACTAACAAGAAGTGCATATCTTTGTATCAAGATTGCAAGGAAGACAAGGGATGATCTGACACCTTGACTTGCCACTGGATTTGTTTGAAGAACTTGTAACTTGGATTCAAGAACTGCTTGTGTGGTGAATAACCCCGTGATAGTCATTAAAGAACAGGTTCTTAGTTCTTGCCCTTCCATGAAGCTTTAATCCACAAAAATCCATTAGCAGTTTTCTGTAGGGCAGCACAGTGGTGCAGTGGTAGAGCTGTTGTCTCTCAGTGAGAAGGTTTCCGGTTCAAATCCCAGCCGGGGCTCTTTCTGAGTGGAGTTTGCATGTTCTCTCCGTGCTGTGTGGGTTTTCTCCAAGTACTCCGGTTTCCTCCCACAGACCAAAAACATGCATGTTAGACTGATTGGTAACTCTAAATTGTCTCTAGGTTTGAGTGAGAGAGTGAATGGTTGTTTGTCTCGTTTGTCTGTATGTGTCCCTGTGATGGACTGGAGACCTGTCCAGGGTGTAGCCCGCCCCTCACACAGTGACTTCTGGATATGGGCACCAGTGACCCCCACGACCCAAAAGTAACTGAAGTAACTGAGTCAGATTTTTTAGGCTCCCTTTTTTGGTTTTTCAACTCTACACACATTATCTTTGGAACTGAGATCAGGGTTCTGGCTACTCCAAAACATCAACTTACAGCCAATTTGTAACTAATTTGGCAGTATCTTGAGGCTTATTGTATTTTTTGAAGACCCATCTGAACCCAAGTTTTAAGCAAGAAAGACCATTTCATCAGCAACAACATGTGGTAGGTGTGGCAGGGAGTCCAGCATCTCACCCACTGTAAGTCCAGCAACACAACAGCAACTGAGGGAAATGTGCTCATTGAAGGAGCTGAAAGACTTTTTTGCACACTTCAGAATGAAAGGACATGGGGTAGTTGCAGCTTGACCACCTGACTGCAGCAGCTCTAGCCTCCAAGAGCAGGAACATGAGGGGCATTGGGTGCTCAGAGTGGTGAACCCCAGGAAAACTGTTAGACCAGGAAGAGTTACTGGGAGAGTCCTTCAAGAGTCTGCAGACAAGCTGATTGGGGTCTTCACTAAATTTTTAATACATCACTGTCCCAGTCATTCATCCTACCATGTCTGCAGTTGGCCACAATTGTCCCACCACCCAAACTTTTAGCTTCAGCAACCTTAATAACTTCTGACCAGTAGCTCTAACACCAGTCGTCATATCAGTCCGATGCTTTATCATACCCTTCCTCCCACCTACTGTATATTTGATCTGCCTCGGTTTACACACGGAGCTAATAGATCAGGAGAGGACACCATTGCTACAACACTCCATATCACCCATCATCTCCAATTTGGAACAGCAGGAGAGCTATGCCAGGCTGATCATTGTTGACTTTATCTCTGCTTTTAATAATATCCTGCCAAATAAACTGACAGCAAAGCTACTGGACACTGGACTTCAATTCACCACCTGCTGCTGGATCAGAAACTTTCCGATCAAGTACAGAGAGTCAGAGTTGGTCCTCATCTCTCCACAGATGGCTCACTTGACCACCTTGATACACCATCATTAGGTATGTCGGCAACGCTACCTTAGTAGGGCTTAACTCAAGACGTGACAAGACAAGATACAGAGAAGAGGTATGGATGCTAGTGAGATGGTGTGCGAACAGTAACTCGGTCCTCAATGCATCTAAGACAAAGAAGCTAATCGTTGACTTCAGGAGGAGAAAGTCCAATCTGCAGCTAATTTATATCAACAAGAAGTGTGTGAAAAACATTTCCAACTTTGTTTTTGAGTGTGCACATGAACACAGACCTCAAATGGAACTCTAACACTACCACATTTGTGACGAAAACCCAACGATGCCTTTACTTTCTGAGGATTCTTGGAAAAATTAACTAAAAGAGAGAACTTCTGACCATCTTTTACCGCTTATTGTGCTGACATATTGCATTTTCATGGGCTTTTCCATCTTTAAACACAAGATAGCACTGCAAAAGGTCATTAGCACGACCCAGAAAATTATTGACGTCCCTTGTCCAGAGGGAGGCCGTGCACCACTTTTAGGGGCAGTGCACACCCAGGACACCCAATGTTTGAGCTTTCCTCTAGCTGGAAATTTAGTGCGCTGAAAGTGCAAACAGACTGAAGGACATCTTGATTCATGCTCAATAAGCCAGGTGGAAAAATCTAACAAAGTTGTCAGGTCCTCTGGATGGATTCTTCTTGTTGAAACGTTTCGTCTTTTACCTAAGACAAAGGACAGTTTTACAATTAAGCCACAGCATTTATGAACACATTTGATCCTACTATGTCACACTAGTTTTATTTTTAAAGTATTTCAAAATACTCATATGTATTATATAGGGCAGCACGATGGCACGGGTGGTACAGCTGCCGCCTCTCAGCGAGCGACTGTATTAGTTAGCATGTAGATGAAGAGGAAGGCTAAAGAGAAGATAAATGGATGCAGATAGAGAGGACATGGAGGTAGTTTGAGGGAAGACAAGTTGGCATGGAGACCCCTGAAAAGGGAACAGCCAAAAGAAAAAGAAAGATTTTTATAAAGTCTTACTGACCTAAAACAGGAAAGTTTTAGTCTGATTTAATGTCAGTCAGGAAAAAAATGGTTGTGTCTATACATTGTATGCAAACATCTGGTTTCAACTGTATATGCCATCCTTTTGCAGCATCCTTCTGATAATGGTGTTACATCAGTTAAACCCATCACTTTGTGCACACCATTTTCCTAGATATGACTTTTACATGTCTATGGTGGAAGGACAAGATCAATTTAGAGATTGGAGGAGTGACTGAGAGCTAGTAAATTGAATGAATGAGGCAAATTGCCAAATAAAAAACTGACAGTAAGAGCTTTGAACATAATGGAGCTTATTGTGCATCTGAGCACATTTCATAAAATTAAACTGAGGCTGTAAAGCTGTAAATTCAACTTGTCTGCTGGATTCTTTAGATAGATAACTTTACTAATTGGCTTTTATGTATGTGAATGTTTCTGTAAAGTGCCCTGAGACATCTTTGTTGTGACTTGGCGCTATATAAATAAACTGAATTGAATTAGAGGAGATAGGACAACAACCATAACAGACAGGCTACACATTGATAAATATATCAACGCTGAGTTACTGATTGATACTCATGCAGGGTATTTATTGACATGATATCCAAGATTTAGCTCTTTAGCTCTTTGTACCAAAAGCTGAAAAGCGGGCAATATTAGCAAAATGTTAAAAAATATATCATAAATGACTGGACAGATTTAATGACACGTTCAGAATGAAATCATTTGTTGTACATTTACAGCTGATTACCCTTTAAAATTAAACCAGATCAAGATGGCCACTACATCCAACTGATCTAAGGAAACACAAGAAGAGCATTCTGCAACATTTGTTCTTAAAACTTTATCATTAACTGTTGGTGTCAACTTAGTTTATCTCTTAGCAAAATATCACATGAGCCACTGGATGGATTGATGAAACTCAAAAAGTAATTGTTGCGTGTACATATAAACTCTAACATTTGAAGTAAACCCAATTTAAGATGGCTGCTACAGCTAATAAACTTTATCTAACACAAAACTGCTATAACAGTCAGTTTTACAGATATTGAGCTACAATTGGTGTGATTGTATGTATTATTCTCAATAGAGATGCACGATATTGGATTTTTGGCCAATATCCGATATGCCAATATGTTAAAACTTATTTGGCAGATAACCGATGAAGATACCAATATTTTTAGTATCCTTTCCTTTGTTAGAACATAGCCCTCTTATTTAGGCTTATTTGCTACAAAAATTGTGTAACAGCTGTAAGAGCTAGTGACATACAGTATATTCAGTAACAGCCGTATGCATAGCACTTTGTTATATTAAATGAAAAGTGTTGAATGTTGTTTATTAGCATTAGTCACCTGCAATGCTGTCTCACTTGTGGAGGCTTGTTCTGTGTACCTAGCTGCAGTGTGGGATTCTCTGCAGTCCTGTGTATGAAGGACAGACTTTTTAATTTCAAAGTTTTTGTTTATACATTGTGTGTAAGACTAATCATGCTAACGGGGCTAACACTTCCTGTTTTTAGTTTTCTACATTTGCCTTAGAATCTAGCTGTTTTTTGGTACTTTTTTTTTTTTTAGCCATCCTATTTGTTAAAAAAAAAAAAAATCTGTATGACTTTTTATAACCGTTTATTGTTGTCGCTGTTGTCCATGGTTCTCATCATTCTTTGTTGAAATCAGATCTCTCTTGTAAATGAGTCCTCGAGGCTCAATGGGATTTACCTGTCTAAATAAAGGTTGAAAAAAACACTTGACATCCAAATGTCTGTGGTGAAACTCACTCAAGTGCTATCAGCTATTAGCTTCTCAATGATGTCAGAAATGACGGCTTGTAACTCGGGTAAGGCTACGCCGAAAAAATATCTCTAACTGGGGACAATGTAGCGAGGCTCAACGTGGTCCAAAAATCTTTGGAATCCAATATCCTCAACAACAAAAAAAAACTTCCACACCGCCAACATTTTGACTTCTTTCTCTCTGCCGTGATCAGATCAGGTAGGCACGCATGACGTCATCACGTTGTGCTGCCACTGCAGGCATCCTTGTCATTGGGTTGTCATACAAAACAGCATCTTTTATATCGGTGAGTTATTTTGATGGAATGGCCGATGTCCGATATTTAACTTTAATGCTAATATTGTCCGATACCATGCTGATAATATCGTGCACCCCTAATCCTCAACACATTCTCTGTATCACAATCCTTGTGTTTTCGATTCATATGCAGGCAGGCAAGCGAAGGCAGGAGTCTAAATAAAATTATTTATTTAAACAACAAAACAAAAAGGCTGACGGGGCAGCACAAAAACTTACTCCACCTAAATAGCGAGTAGAACAGAGCAGAATCAGAAGGACAGATGGAAACAGAAGAGACAGAGGAGGACTGAGAAGTCTGTGCATAACAGAACAATGACTGGACACTTGTGTAGTGAAGAGGAGAGGTTTAAGTAAGGCTGAGAGAGAGAGAGATGATGAGTGCACCTGGGCAGGTGGCTGATGAGGGAGGGACAGGTGTGGATGATGAAGGCTGAGGACTGGAGAGGCAGACTGAGGAGTGAGTGGAAAGTGACAGAAAACAGAATCAGATACAAGGGAACAGAATCACAATGGACATAATAACAAAGTATGAAGAGCAGAGAGGGGAACACAAATAAATGTAAAGAAAACAGACAGGGACAGAACCTGTCACAACCCCCCTCTCAAGGGACGGTTCTTGACGTCCCCTAGAACACAACAGCGAAAACACAGAACGAGTGGGAGGAAGGGGGAAACACAAGGAGGGCATGAAAAAAATCTAAACAAAAACCGACAGGGCTAGACTTTGGAAGAAGGGGAACCAAAACACAAATACCTATGAATGGCCCTGGGCATCGTTCAAAGCAACAGGCAAACAGGTGGACAGCCAAGAGACTGTCCCGAGCAAAGTTGGAGTTCAAGTGGATGGCCTGAGGACCATCCAGAGCAGGACCAGAGTTCAGGTGGATGGCCCGAGGACCGTTCAAAGTGGGACCAGAGTTCTGGTGGACGACCCGGGGGCCGACCAGAGCAGGACCAGAGTTCGGGGAAGGATGGAGTGGGACCAGTGATGGTGATGTTGGCAGCAGACAGACGAGAAAAGATGGTGGTGATGAAGCTGGCAGGGGTTGGACCATGGGTGATAGTGTCGGCAGCTGCAGGGACAGATGGGACGTCGGCAGCTGCTGGATCAGGATGGGGTTCTGATGCTGTGGTGCTAGACCAGGGTTCTGCTGCTGCGGTGCCAGACCTGGGTTCTGCTGCTGTGGGGCCGGGCCTGGGTTCAGAAGCCGGGAGGTCGGGCCTGAGTTCAGCAGCCGGGGGGGTCAGAGCCGGGTTCTGCAGCTGACGGGTCAGGCGAAGGGTCTGCAGGCGGCGAGTCCGTCGAAGGGTCTGCAGGCAGCGAGTCTGATATGGAGTTTGAGAACAGAAGAGCCGGAGCGGGCAGCGAGACCAAGGGAACTGGAGCAGGCAGCGAGACCAGGAGAGCCGGAGTGGGCGGCAAGACCAGGAGAGCCGGAGCGGGCGGCAAGACCAAGGGAACCGGATTGGGCAGTGAGACCAGAGGAGCCAGATCGGGCGGTGAGACCAGAGGCTCTGCGGCTGGAGGAAGCCCTGGAACTGAGTTGGGGGCCTTGGGAGCAGAGCTGGCCGATTCAAGCAGAAAAAGGGCTTGCGTCCCTCGTCGACCTCTCTTTCTGCGGCGGCGAGGAGCAGGGCAGGCAGGTGGGTCACTGTCGATACCCACTGAGCAAGATGGTGGACTGCTCCTTTCTACACCCACTGAGCAAGATGGAGCTGTGTCAATAGGCGGGACCATGTTTTCTGACCGGGGGTGTGTGTGTGTGTGTGGATCCGAGAGAGTCTGTATGCGGGCACGTAAGGCTTTTCTCTGCCCAAGCCTTGTTGAACGGTTCAAACATCCCCGGTGCCTCAGCCAGAGCAGGGAAACGGAGGAACATCTCCACCAACTCCTGAATTCTTCCCTATCTTTCCCAAGAAGGAGAGGGTGTAGACATCGAGTCAGCATAGTCCTTTAAAACTTGGCGGAGCTTGGATAATCCTCCAGGGGAATCCCCACGAGGAACGAGCTTCCTGCTGGGTCTGGGTCAGGTTCAGTCATTCTATCACAATCCTCGTGTTTTCGACCCATATGCAGGCAGGCAAGCAAAGGCAGGAGTTTAAATAAAAAGATTTATTTAAACAACAAAACAAAAAGGCTGACGGGGCAGCACAAAACTTACTCCAGCTAAATAGCGAGTAGAACAGAGCAGAATCATCAGACGGATGGACAGACGGGTGGAAACAGAACAGGCAGAGGAGGACTGAGAAGTCTGTGCATAACAGAACAATGACCGGACACTTGTGTAGTGAAGAGGAGAGGTTTAAGTAAGGCTGAAGGAGAGAGATATGATGAGTGCACCTGGGCAGGTGGCTGATGAGGGACAGGTGTGAATGATAAAGGCTGAGGTCTGGAGAGGCAGACTGAGGAGTGAGTGGAAAGTGACAGAAAACAGAATCAGATACAAGGGAACAGAATCACACAATGGACAGAATAACAAAGTATGAAGAGCAGAGAGGGGAACACAAATAAATATAAAGAAAACAGACAGGGGCAGAGCCTGTCACTGAGTGCGCACTGATCTAGTGGATCTCACAGTATTCCATAAAATCATGCATGACATAATTTTCAAGGTTTGATTTAGACAGCTACTACTTCAACCATATAAGATCATTAAGTTTGAATGTCTGGCATGCAAGGAAGTGAGTGATGTGCATTCATTCCAGGAATGTTAGTTTTTTTTCATCCAGTGATGGTAGCAGGTCTGTAAGTTACTAGGGTTACTTCAAGGGGAGGAGAACTACCAGTCTTGTGGTAAAAAGAAGATGAACACGTTTTCAGATATCAAATTCCTGATTCGAACATCTATGGATTAAAAAAGGAAATCTAAACTCCTCTTATGGTGGTTTTTGTGTTAGGAATGGGAGATCATGCAGGAAGGCAGTGCCTTGTCGCCTTCCAGCAGCAGTGCTATGATACCTGGGTAATTACTGTATAGAGCTTTCTCACATCAGTGAACAGTAACCAGGCAACCAGCTGGCCTGCCACAGAAGCAAACAGAGACTTTCTTTCGGAGTCATGGGTCTGACCACTCGTTTCAGAGCAGCTGAGCCAACTGAACAGAGACTCTGAACATTTGTGCTCACAAAGATCTGAAAACGAGCAAGTAGAATTGTGTATTCTTCATTTGAATAGGACTTAAAAGTCCTATTCTATTTTGGGCTAAAGCCCAAAATCTAAAATATCATCAGTTTTTGTTTTATATTTGCATTTTGCAGAACTGTCTTGACCCAAGAATAGCTGTTTTACATGTACTAGAAAAAAATTAACTAACTGCTCAGTGATTGACCTCCAAAGAATAGTAGTTCTTGAAGTACAACAGAACTCGTTTTCATATCCATCCATCCATTTTCTTCCGCTTATCCGGGGTCAGGTCGCGGGGGTAGCAGCCTAAGTAGGGAGGCCCAGACTTCCCTCTCCCCAGCCACTTGGGCCAGCTCTTCCGGGGGAATCCCAAGGTGTCCCCAGGCCAGCCGAGAAACATAGTCCCTCCAGCGTATCCTGGGTCTTCCTCTGGGCCTCCTTCCGGTGGGACGTGTCCGGAACACCTCACCAGGGAGGCGTCCAGGAGGCATCCTAAACAGATGCCCAAGCCACCTCAACTGGCTCCTCTCGACATGGAGAAGCAGCGGCTCTACTCTGAGTCCCTCCCGGATGATCGAGCTTCTCACCCTATCTCTAAGGGAGAGCCCAGACACCCTGCGGAGAAAACTCATTTCGGCCGCTTGTATCCGAGATCTCATTCTTTCGGTCACAACCCAAAGCTCGTGACCATAGATGAGGGTAGGACCTCCTCCCTGACCCAGAGAGGCCACTCTACCCTTTTCCGGCTCAAGAACAAGACCTTTGACTATCTTGATAAGATAGAAAAGCTCTATACTGGACAGGTACTTATGATGATACCAAGTAATCCAAGTCAAAGCTTTACTTTTTTCTGGAGGTCTCAGCCATTACAAATGCACTGCAGCAGAAATGACACGTCATTCTGTAGAGGATGAGGGAGGTTAGTCAAGCCCTGTTCCTTTGCCAGTTTAATTTACTCAGAGCAGCAGTGAAAATAGCATTCGTAGTTCGATCACATCCATTATGTCAGGCCAAAGAGAATTTATGGTTTGCCACTGAGTATCCTCTGTCTTCAGGCTAACCTTGCTCTGCAAAACACTCTGAAAATAATGAGCCTTGAATAGCATTGCCAGTCAACTAAAAGCTGGAGTGTTTATTGAACACTTTCACTCAATGTGACAAGTCACTAAGATCAGGGATTTCTTAGATTGTTCTGTTTGTTGATTAACTGAGCTGTTATGCTATGATAACCGCAATGACTGAATCTCTGAGGTGATGCTCTTTTTGTAGAGACGTTGCCTCAGTATTAATATCTAACTTCATTACCAGAACTGAAAAATTATGCTTCTTTTTAAATGGTCTTTGCCAAAATTTGTTCCACTAATGTCCCAGAATCTTTTAAAGATAACATGGTGAGGTTGGTTTCAGTATTGTTGTTGGTAAATAGCATAGCTTTGAAGTTTAATTAAAGAGAAACTATTGCAGATAAACATGTTATTATTTAAAGCCCATTATCTTAGATAACTTAGTCAATTAGTCTTGAAACATTTTTTCTGCTCACATCATTTGCTCCAGCTACTGATTCATGCACAAGTTCATTACTGTGATCAGTAAACACATTGAATCTAAGGAGTTCATGGCAGTTGACAGACCTTCAGACTCACTCCCAATGTTTTTGTGTGCATAAGATAAGTGTCAAAGCCTCCTCAACACTATTCTGTCCAAATCATGGTCCTGTACCTTGTGGCATTGTGCTGTGTGATAAAACTCAACATTTTAGAGTGGCCTTTCATTGTGGTTAGCCTAAGGATCACCTGTGCAATAGTTGTGAGGTGGAGGGATTATCTTAGCAAAGGAGAAGTGCTCACTAACACAGATTTACACAATATTTGAGAGAAAAAGGCCTATTGTGTAGCCTACATTAAAAAAAGTCTTTGATCATTAAGTTGCGCTAATGAAAAAAGGAACAAAAACGGCTGCTTTTATATTTTTGTTCAGTGTAAAATAATGCATCCTTATATATATATATATATATATATATATATATATGCATCCTATAAGCCTCCCGT